AACATGGCTCTAAGATACTCTAAGTGCGTTTGTGCCGAGGGTGGGCAGGATCCCTGGGAGGTGTTTTCATGTAGATTTGTTGTGCTTTTCCAGGAAAAGTCAGGTCGAATATCGGTCCTGTTGTCAAGCTGCCTGACATGTTGGACAATGAAAAAGGATGAGCCATTGGACATCAGCTGTGGTGCAATCACACTGTTTGGCGACAAACGAAGACACAGCGAGCTATTACAAAACTGTGAAAATGAAGTCTTTCTTGAACAGTGAAAGTGGTCCTGTTGATGCCATCGCTATTAGGCTGGAGGCCATCGCTTCTAGGTTGGTGGCCATCGGTTTTTGATATTTTTCTAAAAGCTCCATGCTAGTAGTTAGTAGCATCCTTGCTCCTAGTAGTAATGCACTTTGCTACTAGTAGCTTTTACTTAGTAGATCTTAGTAGTAAGGCCAGGAGCGCCCCTAGTAGCATCCATCCATGTTGGATTCCGTTGCGTTTCGATTCGCCGGAATAATCTTTTAAGATGATGCTGGCAATTGGTTGCAGTAGGTAAAGTCAACTGCGAGCTTCAGGGCACGAAGAATGCAGCCGTGCCAAGTGCTGGAAAAACTGGGATGCACAGTGGCAACAGAGAAAGCCGGAGCTTTAGGTCAAGAGAAAATCAACAACCTGCTAGCGATGTCCTCCAACCTAGATGGAGCTTTTAGAGCTCTATATATATATATATAAACCTTTGATTCAAAGAACAGGATAGGGGTAACCGTGATGGTGGAATGCCCTTGTCAAACGGGTATGTTCATGGCGCCCACGGGGTGAGGAACGTGAACATGGACACTGGCCCAGCAAAGCTGTCCACAGAAATCGAGAAAGCGGACACTTCCAGTAACAAGTGCCACGCTAGTAGTAACAGGTGCCTTACTAGTAGTAACAAGAAGCTATTAGAAACAATAAGCTAATAGTAGTAACAAAGAAAGCGGACACTTCCAACGTGGAATTCTTCGCACGAGGGGGTGACGGCAACCAAGCGAAGTGCATCGCTACGAAGGGAGCGATCGGACGCTCCGAACGGGGCTCCTGGCCTTACTACTAGGAGCAAGGACGCTACTAGGAACAAGTGCCTCGCTTCTAGTAACAAGTGCCTTACTACTAGTAACAAGAAGCTACTAGGGGCTCCTGGCCTTGCTACTAGTAGGAGCAAGGACGCTACTAGTAACAGGTGCACCGCTGTGGCTTTGTGCGCTAATGCGGCCTCCCGCGCGAAATCTGCACGCAGTGCCACGAAATCTCTTTTAACGGAACACCTCTATTGAAGACTTTCACAAGCACCTTTTGGCAGAAGTCTTGCACGAAACCCTCGCTTTGAAGACTTCCTGTGTGACTTTTTAGCGGAAGTCTTGGAGGAAATGCTTTTTTTGGAGACTTCCCCTGTCGATTTGGAGGAAGGAATGTGAGTGAAGGCGTCCACAGCAAGATCCGAAAAACACTTCCCCAAAAATTGTTACTACTAGTAAGGCACTTGTTTCTAATAGCTTCTTGTTACTACTAGTAAGGCACTTGTTACTACTAGTGTGGCACTTGTTACTACTAGTAACAAGTATGAGCAACACCTTTAAAAGTTTGACTTTGAGGTGGACGGGGCAGAATTTCCAAGGGCATCGCTACTAGTAACAAGGGCATTACTACTCGTAGACTCGTAGCGATGCCAAGCAAGGTGCACCACATTTTTCAACTGGGCCGGCCACGGGGCGAGATTGCCTGGCGCTTCACTAGCTTGATTCCTAAGGAAGGTGGTTCCGAACAAACCCGATTCGTTCCTGGTTTTGTTTCAGTTCCTCAAAAGTTGCGTTTGCCGCTTTCGAAACCGAGCTGAGTCAGTAGATGGAACGGGGGGGCTCTATAGTCGTTTGTTGTTGTGTTCTGTTTTTATAGAACAATCCAGTTGCACCCACCAGGGCCAACATGTGTGCAACCCTGTTGTCCATTTGGGCAAGCCTGCTGCCCGTCAGGCACCGCTTGGAACGCATGGTGCAGACAGAGGCTAGGGCGTGGTCAAGTGGATCCTTTAGTAGCGATGGCCTCCACCCTAGTAGCTTCTTGCTACTGGTAGCTTCTTGTTCCTAGTAGTAATGCCAGGAGCTACTATATAGTAGCGTCCTTGCTCCTAGGAGCGATGCCCAAGCTTGCTAGTAGCGATGGCCTCCAAGTCCTGCTTCGTTGTTCAAGATGTCAAACTTCAATCCCTTGGACAGACGCCCTCAGGAGGTGCACTTGCGCGTGAAGCAGGTCCAAACCAGGCCCAAATGTGAACTTCATGCAGACATGCTGACATGCTGCTGCTTATTTTAATAAACACACGTGAGCGACACAAGTGTAGTTTTTAAACGGTTTTGACGGCTTACAATGTTTCATCATCCGATTCTTAAATGATCCTCATAGGACGCCAAGATTCATTCTTGTATGTAGCCACAATTAAACATCAGAAATTCATACAAATTCCCTTTTGCTACAAAGCCAAAGACTGTTCAGATATTCCAGCGCTTGGAGTTTTACAATGCAATGAAAAGTCAATCACCAACAAAATATGAAGTTTTACTACGTTTCTGGACCTTTTTTTCCTACTCTTGAAGACTGCTAAAAATTCACCAGTTGCAGTGGAGGAACATTCTATATAGAGAGCTTTTGCAAGCATACTACCGTTAAGTGCTTCCCCACCACGCAAGACATTTGGGGGATAGAAGGATGTTGGAGGCCATCGCTAGTAGATTGGAGGTCATTGCTTCTGGGTATCAACAACCTATTTGTTCTTGAGCTTCACCTGGCCAAAATGGACGCCCCAATCTTGCAATCGCAGCGCGCCTGCTCTTACACATCCGCTTCTTCCTGGTTTCGTTTGCTTCCTTAGTCGAGTCCAGGTTGACAAAACCAGACCGATCTGTTTTTTTCACTCTCCTTTTCTGATCAAAAAGAACATCACTGTCACAGTGACGAGCGCTATCGAAGTGGTCCAGCAATGAACAGAGGGAGGTTTAAAGCAAAGAACCCATCGCTACTAGGGTGGAGGCCATCGCTACTAGTAACAAGGGCATCGCTACTAGGAGCAAGGACGCTACTATATAGTAGCTCCTGGCATTACTACTAGGAACAAGAAGCTACCAGTAGCAAGAAGCTACTAGTAACAAGTGCCACGCTAGTAGTAACAAGTGCCTTACTACTAGGAACAAGAAGCTACCAGTAGCAAGAAGCCATCGCTACTAGGGAGTCAATCGAAGCGAAGAACCGAAGAAATGACCCGTGCGGCGTCCAAATTCTGTTCGGTCAGGAGTCGCTAGGTTTGGGCCTTGGATCAGGTTTTGGCCGCTACTAGTAACAAGTGCCTTACTACTAGTAACAAGAAGCTAGTAGAAACAGGAATTAAAAGAAACAATAAGCTACTAGGAGCAAAGGGCCTCGCTACTAGGAGCAAGGACGCTACTAGGGGCTCCTGGCATCGCTGTAACAAGAAGCTACTAGTAGCTCCTGGCATTAACTACAAGTAGCAAGAAGCTACTAGGTGCAGGCCATGGCTATTAGGTTGGAGGCCATTGCTTCTGGGTTGCTTCTAATGTTCTTGTTTCTTTGGGTGAACTTTGGCTTAGAAGTACCGAATCGTTTTGGGCTCGATCTGAGGACACGGCACAAGACCTGCAGAGGCCATCACATTGTGCAAGCAACATGTTTCTTCAGGAGCAACAGGTCATACAAATAACATTCATAAATTCTATTGCCTGGTATTCCCAGAAGCGTCATGTAAACAAAGTGGGTTGAGATTATATTCAAGGGAATTCATATTCAAAAGGGTCAAGTTGCTTGTTTTCTGAGGGTGCTCCAGAGGAAGACGCGGGTTGCTCCCAGAGTGCTCGACTCAGATCAAGAGGTGTGAAAAAGAACCATAGAAGGTGTTTAGGCATCTTCCATAAGGCCCCTTGAAACTTGTTGAAGAGGTCCAAAAATGGCTCAAATACCTTCTGTTTTCTTTTCTATTATCTATAGTAATCAGTAGGCTTCTGGTAGGTTGAAGGCCATTGGAGGCCATTGCTAGTAATCTTAGGCTCACAAACCTTCATTGCCATATCCCATCGAGGTTGAATTTGTGGTGTGAAAGCTCCTCTATGAAGTATGGATCCAATGGATCCTCCACACCATGTGAGCAGCAGGAGCACTTTGCGAAGTGTATGTTCATAGCTTCGCAAGTTTTGTTGGTTTCACTGTGAAGCTTGGCTGTGCAGTAGCGTGCATAGCTACCTCGTAGATCGGTCAATTTTTGTGGCGTTGCAATGTATTTTAGATGCTCGTGCGCCATGAAAGTAACACCGTGGCACTGCTCGCGGGAATTGGTGCAGTACAGCAATGTTTCGTTTCAAGCAGCGCGAAACACGGACTGTGGCCTTTGTTCAGATGGTGGCAGCCCTGCAGCTGTTTCGCTGATTTAATTTCCCAGCTGTGTTGCAAAAGTGGAGGCAGACATTGATTTGTGCGTGCTTTCTTGGGGCTGACGAGGACACAAAAGAGCCCTTGGCATAATCGAAAGGGCTCCGAGATTTGTAAAAAGTAGAAACATTGAGCAACAACATAGATAAAGAAAGAACGGCAGGAAGGAAGAAAGGAAGAAGAAAGGTCAAAAGGTCTACAGAAAAAGGCAAAAACAAAGAAACTAGAAAATGATAAAAAAGACACCTACTAGCGATGGCCTCCAACCTAAGAGCGATGGCCTCCAAAAAGGATAAAAAAGAAGTATGGCTTCTTGTTCCTAGCGTCTTCCTAGTACTGGTAGTAAGGCCAGGAGCCCCTAGTAGCGTCCTTGCTCCTAGTAGCGATGCCCCTTGTTCGGTTCGTAGCTTATTGTTTCTTTTAATTCTTGTTTCTACTAGCTTCTTGTTACTAGTAGTAAGGCACTTGTTACTAGTAGCGATGCCCTTGTTCCTATGGGTAAACGATGTGAGTGAGATGATGTGACACCAACGCTCGACGGAGCTTTTGGCTCAGATCAAGACAGCCTTGCACGACGGCTCTCCAAGCACAGACTTCAGACGCTGCAAGTCATTTCAAAGCTTGATAACTTGATAACCTACTAGGAATGGCCCCCAACCTACTAGCGATGGCCTCCAACCTACTAGCGATGGCACCCCCAACCTACTAGCGATGTGGCCTCCACCCTACTAGCGATGGCCTCCAACCTACTTGTGATGGACTCCAGGTCATTTCATATATTAATGTGATTCATGTGTCATTACTTGAGGCATAGTGTATGCTGAACATTGGATGTGGTGTTCTTTGCATGTAGAATGCATTCCTCCTGAAGTTTGTGCATATGTTGAATAACACACTTGCATATATAAGGATGTAATATACATATAGCTACTCTCCCTCCCGAACCTAAGTTTCCGATGTTTGTACGCAGATGGTTTGGCAGATAACTAGAGAGTTGTTTCAGGTTGGTTGCAAGTGGTCAGTGGCTTCCAGAGAATTACAGATTTGTTCAAGCTGGCAACTGTCAAATCATAAACAAGAATAGTGTGTGACCAGCCAAGAGGGAAGAATAACTATGCAAGACGATGAGTAATATTGCTAGAAACTATTATGATTACGCTTGATAGGCACCGGTAAAAACCAAACAATCCTTTGTGTTTGGTCAAGCTCCTCTTATTCTGGGCTGATTCGCGGTAGCCAGTATCCTTCAAGAACATGTCGCGCAACAAAGAATGAATTTACAAGCAGAACAACAACTATTTGAGCAAGAGGCAAGCCAGTGAGACGTGGAAGAGTTTGTTTATCATTCATATTAGCAGCAAAAGAAGTCGATAAAGAGATACAATCTCTCTATACACTGGTCAGTCACTAGTCAGAATACAAACTAGCACTTGGTAAATCAAATCTTTGCAGGGGGGCTAAACAAAATATGACAAGGGCGTTTGAGTTATTTAAAGCACTCCTTCTTGGACTTGGAATTCTTAATGTCTCTGCCGATATGTGAAGCTTGATTGAATGACAGTTGTGTTTACGGCAAAGTCAACAATATTCACTTTGCAAGGAGAAGGACCTTTTGCACAGGATAAATTGTGATTTAAGAAACAGGTAGAATAAGGGAGGCTATTGCCAATGAACCACACTTTTCGTGAAGGCTCATAAAGGGTGAAGCCCTTGTGAAAGGAAGAACACATCAAGGATGTCATGTTTAAAGAAAACTCTAGTTCTTTTGCACGGAACATATTTTTGTGAGGATGAGATATGGACAGCAGGGACTTTTGTAGCCCCTGGTTAAACAAATATGAGGAATGAACTTTGATGAGGAATCGATTAGGACGCCAAAAACACACATCAATGAAGAAGACTTGGGAAAGCACTGAATAAGTCATGTGAAACATCTCTTTTCGACCAATGGAAACTCTTGTAAATGGTTTCTTGTCTTGAAGGTGTGTTAAGGGGAATTGTAATTAGGAACGGTGCATGGTGTGGATTTCTCTTCTATTGTTTCCTCTTCATTTTAAGCATGTTCTTGAAGGTTGCTGAGAATCCATCAAGAATGAATGGAGGTAGACCAAACGTTAAAGGATTGCTTGGCCCCTACTCTTGCCAAACACAGTCGTAATTCTATTCTAGTACGTTACTTTCTTTTTCCCCTCTTGGTTAGTCTTTTCTATTGATAGTAAATTAGCCCCTTGTTTGTGTTCAGCTTGCTCCCCCGCATATACAAATGATTTGTATCACATTGCTTTTGTCTGTTTGAATGGCAAAACCACATGAATATTCTAGTTAACATGGGTAAATATAGGGAGAAAGGAGTAAAGTAAAGCAAATTCAAAAGAGGAGAGTTACTTAAGTTGTGAGTTAAGGTACTTAGGAGTTTGTGGCATCCCAACATCCCAAATGTTCTAAAATGCTTTAAGACAACTGGCATCTAGGTTGAAGGCCATCGCTCGTAGGTTGGAGGCCATCGCTATTTGGGGGCCATCACTATTAAGTTGGAGGCCATCGCTATTAGGTTGGAGGCCATCGTTACTAGGTTGGAGGCCATCGCTTTTAGGTTGGAGGCCATCCCTATTAGGTTGGAGGCCATTGCTATTAGGTTGCAGGCCATTGCTATTGGTTTGGAGATCATCACTATTATGTTGGAGGCCATCAAAATTAGGTTGGAGGCCATTGCTAATAGGTTGGAGGCCATCGCTATTAGATTGGAGGCCATCGCTATTAGGTTGGAGGCCATTGCTATTGGGTTGGAGCTCATCACTATTATGTTGGAGGCCATCGCTATTAGGTTGGAGGCCGCTGCTATTAGGTTGGAGGCCATTGCTTTTGGGTTGGAGGCCATTGTTATTAGGTTGGAGGCCATCTTCCCTAGTCTCCTGTGCAGGCTTCACCCCCCGCAGCTTGAGACGCAGAAATCCACGACTCAGGTATTAACATTTGAAGGTGGTGCAAGTGTTTCCTGCCAAAACGATCCAACTATCCGATTATCTCACAGTGCTGCTTGGGGCACCCCAGCAGGATATGTATATGGAGAGTTGTATTTGAGGGAGGCTGTGATGTCAACAACAAACAAAATAGCTTGAACCACGCAAAGGATCCTCACGATCCAACCAGTTCACCACGAAGCGTAGCATAGCGAAGCATAGTGTTGCACACTCGGAAGAACCAACAGTCTCACTTCTTGAAGATTGCCTTTTTTGTGTTGTTTGTTTTACTTCATCTTTAGACCTTTGAACGTTTGTTTTCATTTCTTGAACATAGCTTTTTCTTTGGAACCTTGGACTCACCAGCCACAGTTGCTCCCTCCGCGAAAGCACCGAAGCACGCGACCGAAGCAAGGCACCCTCATACGTCGCGGCAATAAGTCGAGTGGATCCTCTCTCTACTTCGCACCCGCAAATTCGTAGGAGCAAGTGCATCGCGACTAGTAACAAGTGCAACGCTACTAGTAACAAGTGCCACGCTAGTAGTAACAAGTGCCTTACTAGTAGTAACAAGAAGCATGCGAATCATGCGACTGTGATTCCACAAAGTTCAATGCCAAAGCCTTCTAGTTCAGACCTAAGTCGAAAAACATCACACAAGAAGCCACTGATAGCTGGAGCATCAAGGTGGCATTTGAGTGTGCGTATGCATAGCACATCATACCGCTATGGATGAGAGGATTGCTGCATCATGAAGCTTCGTGAGCTTTGCACCCGTTCTTCAGTTTGAGGTGTCGCGGATGGCGAAGAAGGCAAGCGAAACGTCGAAATGTCAAGATTTGAGCCCGGAAGCTTTGGAACTCTTCTTTTCAGGAAACGAAAAGGAAGCAAGTTGAAGAGGAGAAGCCGGAGAAGCCAAAAGGCACAAGAACTGTGACAAAGATATGTTGCTTTTGCTGGCTTGGTGTCCCAGCAATTACCTAGCAACTCAGGTGGGAAAAAAGCAAAGGTCGCAGATGAAAATATCTCTTCTGCAGAGGTGCTAGCAGTTATTTTGCGCCAAGGAGTTTGCAAGCCTCATATTGAAATTCCATGAGGCAGTCAAGCAGGCCAAAGACAAGCTGAAAAAGATGAAGAAGGAGCTGTTTTTTCTTGCGCGTGCTGCAAGAGCCTGTATCCTGCAAAGACGGCGCGAAAGACGTGAGAGGCCAACCAGTCCGAGGAAGAGGAGGAAGAAGAGCCGGCTCGGGCACCTAAAGCATCACCTAAAGCCTCCACCCTACTAGCGACGGCCTCCCCTTAATAGCGATGGCCTGCAACCTAAGAGTTATTTATCAACGCATTTGTGCACTTGCCATACTCCTGGTACGTCCTCAGACAAGACGTGCAACTTTACCTGTAGCAGAGCGCAGTGTGTGAGATGGTCCTGGATCACACCAAAGAGCTTAAGCTTACTAGTAGTAACAAGGTTCGCTACTAGTAACAAGTGCCACGCTAGTAGTAACAGGTGCCTTACTAGTAGTAACAAAGAAGCTTGCGAATCATGCGCAGTGTGTGGGCGTTGCTGGTGACCGGTTTTTCGCACCTGCAGCCCAGCGCATGGATGATTTGCAACTGGCGATGGCAGTGGTTGCTCTACAGTATTAGGGAGTCGTGATGACAAAAGACAGGTTAGTAAAACCCTTTTCCTTTCTCACAACATACAGTCTCGTTTCATTAATACGGTCTTTGTTCATTACTTTGCTCTACCCAGCTTGTTGTGACAGTCTCGTTCATTACTTTGAGCTACCCAGCATTGTGTTAGCTTTTTCCCACCTGTCAGGTGAGGGTTGTTAGATTTTATGTCAGCCCCATCTCCTCCTCCTTCTCCTCCGCGTCCTCCTCCGCCTCGTCCTCCTCCGCCGGACCTCAGCCACGACCATCCACGCCCAGTCTTCCCTGCCGGACCTCAACTGCGAGCTCTAGGCCCAAGTGTTCCCTGCCAGACCTCAACCACAGCACACAACCACAAACACGCAACCACAAACACAAAACCACACAACCACCAAAGCAATCACAAACACGCAGCCACAAAAACACAACCACAAAAACACAACCACAAACACACAACCACAAACACGCAACCACAAACACACAACCACAAACACGCAACCACAAACACAATCACACTACAAATACAATCACAAACGCGCAACCACAAACACACAACCATAAACACAAAACCACACAACCACCAAAGCAACCACAAACACGCAACCACAAACACGCAACCACAAACACGCAACCACAAACAC